ACATTAAAAAGTTCATACACCATGACCGAGTGAAATTCATCCCAGAGATGCAAGGATGGTTCAATATTTGCAAATCAGTAAATGCAATACATCATATAAACAAAAGCTAAGACAAAAATCACATGATCATATCAATAGATGTGGAAAAAGCTTTTGATAAGGTACAACACCCATGTATGATAAAAACACTCAGCAAAGTGGAAATAGAGGAAGCATTCCTCAATATAATAAAGGCCACATAGGAGAGACCTAGAGTCAACATCATACTCAATGGAAAAAAAAACTAAAATCTTTTCCACTAAGATCAAGAACAAGACAAAGTTGTCCACTTTCACCACTTCTATTCAATATAATATTGGAAGTTTTAGCCACAGTGATCAGACAAGAAAAGGAAATAAATGGCATTTAAATAGGAAAGGGGAAAACAAAACTGTCATTCTTTGCAGATGGCATGGTAGTGTACATGGGAAATCCTACAGACTCTGCCCAAAAACTGCTGGACTTAATAAATGAATTTGGCAAAACAGTGGGTTACAAAGTCAATATCCAGAAATCAAAAAGATTTTATATACTCACAATGAATCAGCAGAAGCACAAATTAAGAAACAAATCCCATTTGATATCTTAAGATATTGAGCATCTCTTCATGTGTCTCTAGACCACAATGAGATACCACTTTACACCAGTCAGGATGGCTATCATAAACAAAGCAACAAACAACAAATGTTGGAGAGGTTGTGGGGAGAAGGGGTCCTTAGTTCACTGTTGGTGGGATTGCAGACTGGTGCAACCATTATGGAAAACAGTATGAAATTTTCTCAGAAAAATAAAAATTGACCTTCCTTTTGACCCAGCAATTCCACTGCTAGGATTATATCCTAAGAATCATAAAACATCAGTTCAAAAGAACCTATGCACCTCAATGTCCATAGCAGCACAATTTACAATAGCCAAGAGCTGGAAGCTACCTAGGTGCCCATCAGTAAATGAATGGATCAAAAACCGTGGTACATATACACAATGGAATTCTATTCAGCAGAAAGAAAGACCGAACTCCTACCCTTTGCAACTACATGGATGGAACTGGAAAGCATTATGCTGAGTGAAATAAGCCAGGTGTTGAAAGACAAATACCATATGATCTCACCTTTAACAGGAAGCGAAACAACAAACAAACAAACAAGCAAAATAAAAACAAAGACACTGAAATAGAGAAATGGGAAGACAGTGACCAGAGGGGAGAGGGGAGTGAATTTCACGGGAAAAAAGGGAAGAATTTACAGGAAGTAGTATAAAGGACACATGGACAACAAATAAGGGGGTGGAAATGAGAGGGAGGTGGGGTGCACTACGAGGTTGGGCTGGGATGGGAATAAAAGAAAGAAAACTGCACTTGAACAATCATTATTTTTTTAATTCCAGGATGAGATTTAATTCACCCCACGAAGCAGTGAAGTCAAGCCACACAGGTGCTATTAGGTTTTACCCAAATTACCTGTAACTTTGAGTGAGTTTTTTAAGTTCTTGAGGTATTTCAAAATTTCCTGAGCTCTCCCCTGCCATCTCCTGGGAAAGAAACTTTCACTCTTTGCCTAGAGATACTGCCATGAACATTCCAAATAAGCAAGGTACCAGGCCATTTCTCCAAGTAGCTTGTATTCACTTCAAAGTCATTCTGTGTTCCTTAAAGCTTTTGCTGACAACCAGAGTCTAGCCATGTCTCTCAAACATGACATTTCAGTAAAATTCTTGGCTGATAAATCCACTACTGGAAAATGGTTTTATGTGCTTTGTTATGAATAAATCAGCTTCTTGCTTGATTCATTCAAACAAATATATTGCCATGGAAATTATAATACCCATTACGTAATACTGTCTAAATTCTAGAGGGATCAAACAGGAGGAAAATATGAATTCCTCAATATTTCTTATTGAAGTATAAGTAACCACATTATACTTCAATAAGAAATATATCGAAGTATCTCATTGTGGTTTTAATTTTCATCTCTCTGATTGCTGGCGACATTGAGCATCTCTTCATGTGTCTCTTGATCCTCTGTATGTCCTCTGTATGTCCATTATTGCTTTAAGAATAATGCTAAGTTTCTTATGTCTGAAAAACAACATTATTAAAAATTAATATGCTAACTAGCTGTTAGAAAACTGCAATAGAATTCAGTTAATTTTGTCCCATAACCAATTTAGTTTTTGCTGATTACTTGCCAGTGTTTCTATAAAGCCAGTTATTCTATAGAGTTATAGTTATCTTTCCTGTTTAAAAATATGATCTGAAAATTATTCTCAAAAATATTGACTTTACAAGAAGTCATAGTTCTTTCCATGGTTGTCTCTGAAAATGTAACAAATTTTGGAATGTATCAGGACTGAACTGTCTAAGAGAGACAGTTTCCCATATCCTTGAGAACAGGCCTGAGAAGTAGTGTTCTCACAACCCTGAGATTGTGTCTGATAAATGGCCCCCATACCATTGAGTGGGCTTGCATGCAGAGAAGGAAGCTCTGTTGAAAAATCTGTTGGCTTCCAGTTGGCTTTGTCCATATTTTAGTATGTAAGGGAGTTGGTACTTCCCACTGGGTACACAGATAGAGTGCAGGAGACACACAGGTGGCATGTATGGACATGTAGGGAGACACACAGCTGGTAGCATGTGCAGATCACCAACCCTTGAATAAATGCATGTAAGACACCTGAATATTTCTGTGAATGTTCTTCTGTTGGCCTTAATCCTATGAAATTATCTGGCATTGAATGGTTGCAGCACAGCTTGTGTTTGATGGATGTATGGGGACAGGGAGAGAGAGTTAGTCCTGACCTGAGAGGGTGAAGGACATTTCAAGGACACAGATGCTTCTTCATAGGAGATGCAATATGTGTGATATGACATAGGCCCCAGCATTCTCTGACTGAAGGTGTCAAAAGAATAACAGTGGGGATGGACAATTGTCCATGACACACATCACATACAAGACCATGCTGCACAATGTGGAACCTCCCTTCTCAGGAAACACCTTGTCTGTCCCCACGAATTCTCACTGAGTAGTTTCCCCAAGGTAGGTACCTAATCCTCAACTCTGCTCTCACCTGTTATGGGACTGAGAAGAATGACAAGACCTTCAAATTGTTCCTCCTATCTGGGGTCACAGTCTCTGACACTCCTTGCAAACCAGGACATGGAAACACCCAAGTATTACCTGGAATGCATCTCTGGGCATCATCACAGGGAAAGGTGATGGAGAGGAGGCCATAAGCAGACTCAGAGCTAGGTGAGGACATACATCACTGGGCTGGCAACATTGGTGGAGGGGACAGGAGTGAGTTACAAACCACAGCTGTCCCCTAGGGCAATGGTGTGCTCCTCACTGAAGGAGTTGTACTCACTGATTCTCTTCCTAGGAATTCACCTTGCTGTCCTTCGTGCTGGTCACAGTTGGCCAGTACCCAGGAATCCTCACAGGTGTCCCCCAGCACCTGCAGTGCATTACTGCCATCCCCATCACAAACGTCACCTTGGCCCTATGTGGCTGCATCAAAGCCTCACTCTCATCTCTCTTGTCAATAAAGGAGGAATCTCCTGAGATATTTGTCCCCTGAGGAAATCTCACAAATGGTCCACGGATGTTTTCAATCTGTCATATGAGTCCCAGTCCTCACTGTGCACTATTAAATAATGTGACTGCAGTGGAGATTTTCTGTGTATGGAGGGTGAGCGAGACTTGGGGAAGCAACCTTGGTTTTAAGCATTCACCGGGCTCTTAAATCCCATAATGGGTTTCACCTCTGTTTAGTGATATAATGAAAGATACACACACTCTGCACTTTGGTTTCCCTCCATCTGTCACCTTGGCCCACCATAAGCTCCCAGTCCCCTTTCGTGGACATCAACTTCCGGGTCCCCTTTCCCAAGGGTCTCAGGTTGGTTCCAGTACAGCAGGTTTCAAACTGACTCTCTATGACCAGGAAACTGGTCCTGTCATCCATACACCTCTCAGAACACCTGCTGGCCCAGAGTCAGCACCTGTGTCTCTATGGAAGAAGTTGACTGTACAATGTCAGTGCCTTATGTGGTCTAAGAACCTGGAAGACCCTCCTGAATGGCTCACCTATAGGAAGGGGCTGCCTATACTGTTTTGGGAGAAATGAGGTGAAAGGAAGGACACAGTGTGTGTAATACCTGTCTCTGCTGCAGGGCCACTGCTTTACTCCTAGAAACAGGTCCCGACCAGAGTTACCTGTGCTTTGGAGCTGGACTAAGACAGAGGCTGCACCTGCAATCCCGAGTACATGCCCAGGGGAGCTCAGGCAGGTCAAGGGAAAGACTTTTTTATTTTATTTTATTTTATTTATTTTATTCTATTTCATGTTACTCTTATTTTTACATCAAATATTATTTTATATAAAATTTTGATTTTCAAATTTGGCAAGAATGAGTCTACTTCATGTGACTTTTTGGACTTGCACAGATGTTTGGGCATAATGTTAATTTGTTCTGATATCCACTTGAAAAATCTACAAAATTAAAATAGTGAGATTCCTCATTGAGCCCAAGTTTAAACTATAAATGTAGAAATAAAGGCTGTGTGTTGTCATGATTCAAAGTTGTCTCATAACCCAACTGACTTACCAACCCTGACCCATGCCCTTGAGTCCGAGAGAAGAACTGTGCTCAGGGCCCAGAAGGACATGGGGAAGTGACCTCAGTCTCCCCTCACTTATGAGGACGTCATCCCTCACATGCAAATTTCTTGCTCACTTCCAGTTTAAATCCTACCCTAGACTGTGGGGGCTCACAACTGTTTTCTTACAAGGGGCAGAGTTCTCTGGGGAAGGCAAATCTGTGCTCTAGAAAAGATTAGAGTGCTTAGTCTCCTCCTGTGCCAGGTGACAGCACCCAAATGTGAGTGTCTCAGATGTCAGACAGAATTCTATGGAATAGTGTTGATGGAGTATGGCTGATAGTGTATGATGCAACTTGTCCCCAGGTGTCCTGTACCAGGTACAGCTTCAGGAGTCAGGTCCAGGACTGGTGAAGCCCTCACTGACCCTCTACATTGCCTGCACTGTGTCTGGATTCTCCATCACCATTCTCCATGGCTGCTGGAACTGGATCTGCCAGCCTCTATGGAAAAGTCTGGAGTGGACAGGGGACATATGTTATGACGGGAACTCTTACTGCAGTCCGGCTGTCAAGAGCCACACCTCCATCACTAGAAACATGTCTGAGAACCAGTTCTCCCTGCAGCTGAGTTCTGTGACCACTGAGGACATAGCTGTGTTCCTGTGCAAGTTACACAGTGAGGGGAAGTCTGCATGAGATCAAACACAAACCTCTTGTGTGGAGACAAGGGGCAGGGGTGCAGGGGTGCTCAGGATACTGAGGACAGTGAAAAGCTACACTGCAACTGGTCTACAGGTTCTGATTTCCCAGGACAACTTTTCTGTCTCTGCTCTCCCTGCATCAGCACCTCCTTCTGCTCCTGGGGAGTCACAGATCTGATGCCTGGCATCCTACTACCACCGGGGCTTCTGGTTGTGTGATCTGAGAATTGATGCCTGTGTCTGTAGATCAGAGAAACCACCAAAAGTGAGATTAGTGTTGGCTACACTGACTGGATAAGGATACCCTGGGTCTTTCCCTCCTGAGAACGAGCCAGGAAATTGTCTCCATATAATCTTCAAGTTTCAGGTGCTGGGCAAACAAGAAACCATAAGGGCAGGCACTCTCCATTCGTGTCAATTTGTGTTTGCTTTTGTTTTGTCATGAAAGTTGTCACTCACTGATTTCATACAGGAGTGGAGATTCTTCCCATGTGTGAGGAACAGGGGGAAGGGAGAATGGTGTTCAACACAATGAAAATTATCAGTGTGTGTGTGTGTGTGTGTGTGTGTGTGTGTGTGTGTGTGATTTATTGTGCAGAATCTCAGTGGGTTTAGGGCCACATGTTGGGCTACATGGATGAGACCTGTAAGCAGAGGAACTTGAGAACATCAGAGTCCCCCAAAACTGCTTAGAGCTTCTGGAGAGGTGTCAGCTCAGTCGGTGCATCTGGCATCTGAAGTGAAGGGACTCCCTCGTGGCTTAACAGAGCCCTGTATTGAGGAGCATCCTGGAATCAGGTCACAGCCTTTAATGCTGAAATAGGGATGCTGAGAGGCCCATGCCCTGTGAGCTCAGACAGGGTATTCCCCTGCAAGGCATGGGCTGGACAGCAGGGGGTGCAAAAAGACTCATAAGCTGAAGGCACCTACTTCAGGAACAAGTGTAGGGAGAGGTGGGGAGGTATTTCCTCTGGTGGCATGGATATTCTTTTCATTAAAAAAAATCTAAAATAAGATCCAGACATGCAGTAACTGTAATATCCTATTCTATCAGATAATTTTCCAAACTCAATAAGGCAGCAGAACATCATTCAGTGAAATAATTTCTAGGGCTTCTCATATCTGAATATTAAGGATCTGGAGACAGGGATTGTTAAAATCTATTCAGTGCTGCATTTTAAGATACCCTGAACCAAGGAATAAAACCTACAGGTATTAAAGCCCAGAACTGGTCCATGTGAACTGGGTCACCGAAATGTGGGTTCTCAATGAGGAGCATGTCCTGTGGGGGCTTGTTCCTCACTGGGAGGAGCTATGTCGGTACAGAACTCAGGGAGCTTATAAGAAACTTATATACAATAACACTGACACAGACTTGGACCATGAATATACCATTGAGAATGGTCCCTGTGTCCTGTACCCTCTAACATGTGGGGACTTATAATAGCCTTAAAGTGCCCTGTCTCATAAATATGCAAGTGAAGGGAGAACAGGTAGACTAGGTTAAACCTGGGTCTCTCTGTGCCCTGAGATCATCAACCACAGCCACACCCTCCCCTACATTGGTCCTGATGACACAGCCCTTGCCATGGACTAGAGTTGGATGAACCTTGCCCCTTTGTCAGTGGCTGCATGCATGTCTCTCCTCAGACCCTGGGTTGAGGAGGAACCAGGAACACTCATGAGTAATTTTAACCCATTCCTGCATTCTCTGCACTGGTGTCCATACCCAGATGAATCTGGCGAAATCTTCTGTTGAGATGGGGCATCCTGGGGCCTCAGTGAAGGTCTCCTGCAAAGCTTCTGGATACACCTTTACCAGCTCTGCTGTGTTCTGGGTGGGAGAGGCCCCAGGAGATGAGCTGCAGTATGTGAGCTGGGTCAACACAAACTCTGGGAAACCCACATATGGCCAGAGCTTCTCAAAAGAATTTTTCTTCTCCATTTACACCTCTGTCAGCTCAGTCTATCTGCAGATCAGTGGCCTGATGTTGGAGGGTATGACCATGCATCACTGTGTGAGAGACTCAGTGTGATGACCCCCATCATCAGTGGGTTACAAACCCTGAGATGCGTGGAAGCTGCCCACATGTCAATGAGAATAAAGTTCCATGGAGAACACAGTGGAGTAGAAAGCCTCTGCTTCCCTCCCTGTCAGCCGAGTAGGGGGTCTGAGCACAAGAGCATGCCATGGTCACAATGTGCCTGGGGGTCTCCTTCATGAGCAAAACTTACTTCTGAAAGTCTCAGGTGAAATGTGTGTAAAGAGGCTGAAAAGGAGCCTTTCCTTAATCAAAGTCATCCTTGTCCCCAGGTGTCCTTTCCCAAGGGAGCTACATGATGTATGGCTAAGGACTAGTGAACCTCTGAGAGATGCTCCAAACATGGGGTGCATGGTGCCAGTTGTAGTTCACACCCCAACTGAGCAGAAGCTTGCCCAGATACAGAGCAGAATCTTGACCCCAGGGGCACTTCTCAGTTCCAGCTCTCCATGCAGCTGAGCTCTGTGACCAATGGGGACATGGCTATATGTTACTGTACTGCACACCGAGGGCAAGGCAATTCCAGGCCAGATTACAATGTCTATCTCAAGGGTGTAGGGGTGAGTAGAAAATCAGATTTCCTACTGCATCAAAGGGTATCCAACTGTGGATGGGATTTGCATTGGGAATGCACTGGATCCTTGAAGAAATCCACTGGAACCCCCGAATCCATTGCCCTGATGTTCAACATGTCCTGCCCATGAGCACCATGGTCAAAGGGGGCACATGTTAAGTCAGAAGCTCTTTTAGAAAGAATCAGAAGTCTTTGTTATAATTTTAAATGAAATGTATGTTGAACTCTTCAGTACCTAAGAAAATGTGCAGAGTGAATATATCTGCTAGCATATGAACAGGCAAAAAACAATCACTCCAAAGTCATGGACACAGTCACTAACACGGTATAAACATCACACACACACACACAGTCAAATGCTGTCATGTACACAATTTCAGCACAACCAATCACAGTCACACACAATCACAGTCACACACTCAGTGGACAGTTACCAATACAGTCTCACGCTGTCAAACACAGCCTCACATGGAATCACATGCACACATTTACATAAAGAGTCAATACATGCATTCACACACAGCCACACAGATGTGCACACAGTTACAAGACTGAGTCACAAACACAGTCACACACAGAGTCAAACTGCCATACACAGTCACACTGAAAGTCACAGCCACATAGTTACATACTGTCACACATATTGTCACAATTCTGTCTCATGCAGTAGTGTGCCCACACAGTCACACACCGCCATACACACAGTGACAATCTCATTGTTGAAAAAGACATGCTTTCACACATGAAGTGTGATACAAAACTGTTCACGTCATTGCAGTTTCCTTTTTTCTTTGATTTTATTGATTATGCCATTACAGTTGTTCTATTCCCCCCTTCATTCCCCTCCACCCTGCATCCCCCCACCCCCACCATCCCCCCCTTTAGTTTATGACCATGTGTCTCAACTTCTTTAGATTCTATATTTCCCATACTATTCTTGCCCCCTGTCTATTTTCTACCTACGGTCTATGCTACTTATTTTCTATAACTTTCCCCCCTTCTCCTCCCACTCCCCTGTTGCTAACCCTCCATGAGATCTTCATTTCTATGTTTCTACTCCTGATCTAGCTGTCCTTTTAGTTTGCTTTTGTTTTAGGTGTGGTTGTTAATAACTGTGAGTTTGCTGTCCTTTCGCTGTTCATATTTTTTATCTTCTTTTTCTTAGGTAAGTCCCTTTAACATTTCATATAATAAGGGCTTGGTGATGATGAACTCCTTGAATTTGATCTTATCTAAGAAGCACTTTATCTGTCCTTCCATTCTAAATGAAAGTTTTGCTGGATAGAGCAGTCTTGGTTGTAGGTCTTTGGATTTTATGACTTGGAATACCTCTTTCCAGCCCCTTCTTGCCTGTAAGGTCTCTTTTGAGAAATCCAGCTGACAGTCTGATGGGAACTCCTTTGTAGGTGACTGTCCCCTTACCTCTTGCTGCTTCTAGGATTCTCTCCTTCATTTTAATTTTGGCTAATGTAATGATGATGTGCCTTGGTGTGTTCCTTCTTGGGTCCAACTTCTTTGGGACTCTGTGAGCTTCCTGGATTTCCTGGAAGTCTATTTCCTTTGCCAGATTGGGGAAATTCTACTTTATTATTTGTTCAAATAAGTTTTCCACTGGTGGCTGTTCGTCTCCCCCTTCTTGTACCCCTATAATTCAGATGTTGGAACATTTAAAGATGTCCTGGAGGTTCCTAAGCCTCTCCTCACTTTTTTGAATTCTTGTTTCTTCATCCTTTTCTGTTTGGTCATTTTTTTCTCTTGCTGATCCACTTCTTTGATTTGAGTCCCAGTTTCCTTTTCATTACTATTGTTTTCCTGTGTGTTTTCCTTCATTTCAATTACTTTAGCTTGCATATGTTCCTCTAATTTGTGACTAAAATCAACCAGTTCTGTGAGGATCCTGATCACCAGTGTTTTGAACTGTGCATCTGAAAGTTTTGCTATTTCTTCATCGCTTAGAGTTATGGGCTCTGGGGCTTTGAGATCTTCTTGAGCCATTTTTTATCTATTTGCTCCCATTAAGTATGAGGAGTGGAGGCTTAGTTGTTCACCAGGGCGGGGCCGCTCAGGTCGCTGGGTTGTGATGCTGTATGTGGGGGCAGGGTCAGAGCTGGTAAATAGCGGCCCCCTCTGCTGCCTCTCCCCGCTGGGGCCTGCTTGGTCCCGTCTCACTGCCCACTCCCTCGCTGGTCTATCTGCACAAGAATGCGCGACCACAGTCAACTTGCCGCCCTGAGCCCTCGCTGGGTCTGCTGGTCACTCACTGCATCGCTCACTGGGTTGCTCACTGGGTCGGCCCTTTGCAACCCCACACCTGGGATCCTAGCGCCTGAGTCTGTCTGACCGAATTTTCCTGTGCAACCCCGCTCTGCCAGCTGCTGG